GCAGGGGAGCCATAGGCTCCAGGTGGCTGCAGCAAGGTGGATAGTGGCTGCAGCAAGGGCACAGGGCTCCAGGTGGCTGCAGCAAGAAGGGGAGGGACTGCTTTTTCCCAGTGCCAAGCAGCAGCTTCTGTCCAGCCGCTGCTGCTGCTGCTTAGCATGGGTGGGCGAGTCTGGAGCAGGTGCAGGGTGGGCTGGGGTTGGGGCTGTACACGTGGCTTCTGCCTAGTCTGCTTCACCGGGCCAAGTCCGGAGCAAGTGTGGGGCAGGCTGGGGTCGGGACTGTGCGCATGGGTCCCTGCTAGTACCAGTGGGGGTGGGGCCAGCAGCGACAAGAGCCAGAAGGAGCCACTGCTGCCTGGGCTGTCTAGAAAGGCAGCCCAGCTGCAGAGCCACCATAGCACTGCTTGAATGCCTTCAGGTGGTGGGACGCCCCACAGGCTGGATGGTGCCTGGGCTAAGTGGGACTGCCGGACTGCCGCACGCCGGACAAAGTCCCTCTGTGGGCCAGATTCGGCCCATGGGCCCTATTTTGCCAATGCTGGTTCTATAAGTATGTTGGCCAGAAACGAAGGACCAAGGAGATCAATCCTCTCTTAACAAGCCACAGGAACTCCTAACCAAAGATGCAGAACGGGCGGAGCTACTCAAAAGCTACTTTTGACTCGGTCTTTGCAAAACACTTAAGCTGCCAGACACCTAATAGGGATGATAAGGGAGGGGGAGCTGAAGGAGGAGTTAACAAGAGACGGTCGGAGAGCTTTCATTGGGTCTGAAATGAATTCAAGTCAGCAGGGCCAGATTAACTTCATCCTGTGGTCCTGATGGAACTGGCAGAGAAGATCATTGCCACGGGCTCCAAAATCATGAAGTCATGGGAGATGGGCCAGGTACCAGAGGGCTGGAAAAGGGCTAACATAGTGCCCCTCTTTAAAAAAGGCTAAAGGAAGACCTAGGGAACGACAGATTGGTTAGCCTCACCTCAATACCTGGAGCATATCTTAAGGAAGGCCATCTGCAAGCATCTAGAGGAGGAAGGGCTGATTGCAAGCAGTGACTACGTATTTATGAAAAATAAATAGTTTCAAACAAACCTGATCTTCTTTGACAAAGTAACGTGCTTGGGTGGATGAAGGGAATGCTGTGGATATAGTGTATTTGGACTTCAGCAAGGCTTTTGACAAGGTCCACATTCTCATAAACAAATTGGAGGAACACGGCCTAGATAAAACTACTACACGGTGGATAGGTAACTGGCTTAATAGCCTCAAGCAAATAGTAATTATTAATGGGTCCATATCTGAATGGCAGGAGGTTTTGAGTGGAGTCCCACAGGAGTCTGTCCTCTGCCTGGTACTGTTCAACTCATTCATTAATGATTTGGATGTTGGCATAGGAAGTTTCTTGAGCAAGTTTGTGGATGATACTAAATTGAGAAGGATTGTGAACATTTTGGAGGATACAAGTGCAGTTTGGAAGGGTCTCAACAGGTTGGAAAGGAGCTAGAGCTAACAGGAAGAAGTTCAGTGTGGACAAACGCCAGATGCTGCACCTTAGGAGGTGGAATCAAAAACACCAGATACAAAATAGGAGACACCTAGTTGGATGGTGGCTTTATGGAAAAGGACTTGGGAGTCTTGTTAAATCACAGACTGAATATAAGTCTTGTGCAGCTGCATAACACTACAAAGGTGAATGCAATTTTGGGTTGCATCAATAGAAGCATTAGGTACAAGACATGGGAGGTGATAGTGCCCCTCGACTCCGGACTGGTTAGGCCTCATCTGGAGTACTGTGTGTAGTTCTGGGCTCAACGTTTTAAAAAGGATGTGGAGAAGTGAGAGAGGGTCCAGAGGCGAGCACCAAAGATGATCAAGGGCTTGGAAGATAAGTCATATGAGGAGATACTGAAGGAGCTCAGCTTGTAGAAAAGGCACTTACTTAAGAGGTGACATGATAGTAGTCTTCAGATACTTGAAGGGCTGTGATACAGAAAAGGGAAAGCACCTTTTCTCTCTTGCTGTGGGGAGGAGGATGCGAACCAATGGCTTGAAGTTGCAGCAACAAGTTTAGATTGGAAATCTGGAAAAACTTCTTCACTGTTAGAATAGTGAGGCAGTAGAATAGACTGCCTCAGGAAGTTGTGGATTCTTCATCACTGGAGGTATTCAAGAAGATGCTAAGAGGTTGGACAGCCATTAGTTGGGTTGATCTAGGTGTAGTTATACCTATTTTCTACCATGGGTATTTCCCATGCTTCTGGACTTTGCGGATTGCTCCCACCCCATCACCTTTTTCTGCTATACATGTCAGGGTGTCTTTAAACCACCCCAGAGGCTTGAGTGTTGGCTACAGCTAAGGCTGGGAACTTCAGCTGGGGTGTGCCGATTCTCCTGCTAGGAGCAAAGCTGGAAGTTCCTGGCTAGAGGGTCTTTCTTACCTTTTCACTTCAGGTCAGACCAATTGCCATATCTGGGGTCAGGAAGGAATTTTACTCCATGGTCAGATTGGTATGGACTGTAGGGGGTTTTGCCTTCCTTTGTACTGGGGAGCGTGGCCCTCTACCCAGGACCTCTTGAGCAGACCTCTTGATCTATTAGCAACATTTTATAGAAGCAGGACACTGGCTGCCATGGTTCCCTTGCTTTACCTGTGGCAGGTTAGGGTGTTAGGTCTGTGTTGTGTCAAGGCTGAGGATAGTTTTATGCAGAGTTTAGATTATAGTTGCAGGGATTAAACTAGATGACCTCCCTTCCAGCCCTACTTCTTTATGACTATGACTTTTTTGCTTTATATACTCCAAACAAAACTATCAAATTAGGTCAGTCACAGCTTCCAGTCTCACTTTCTAATATTGAGCTGCTAAGTGTATATTGGCTTGGTTTTCCATTTTACTTCAGTAGTGCAAAAAATGAAAGAACTATTCCATGAGTTACCATGCATAGCCAAATTCAGGAGTACAACTAGTGATCAAAACCAGATAAGCTCTCAGAACATATAATGCTTTAAAAAATGTGTGTGGTAAATTTATAATTAAACAAACAATATTAAAGAGTGTACAGAAAAGGAGAGCTTATATATGTATAAGTAGATCTGCAAACTGACCAGTGAAGTTGTGAGGAAAGTGCTCTTATTAGGATAATAAGAGGATTTTCAGTTGGCATGGATAATAGGGCTTGCACCTTTCTTATTCAAAGTTCACTGCAAAAGCCGTGAACAGTAATGGTTGTTCAGGTTTTCGTCCAAAAACTTTATATATCCACAATTTTTTAATTAAGTGAAACCTTGCCTATAATCAAAATACCTAGAAGAAGAACTCTAATTTTGTCTCTGTGAAACTCTTACAATAGACTTATTGCTGGTGTTAGCTTTGCAAAGGAATTTCAAGGGACTTTCTCTACAAGATTGGCTATGTTAAGTTCAAAGCTTTAGAGATCCTAGTTCCCAGAAAACCTCTCTAGACTCTTTATGTTCCAGGACAATCGGGGAGCTTGAGTGATCTTGCATTTGTTTTGTCTCATTTGATTTTCAGAAGCTTTGCTTCGACACGTTGCACACAAGTTGCATCCAATGTTTTGAGATCTCGGATGGTAAAAAAAAAAAAATGGGTCTTACCATCTGTCACTAGAAGAAGTAGGTTTGGCAGGTTTGGACTGTTGTCCATGTGACCCAGAAAGGCCTGAAGAGGAGTCCAGCATGGTTCTGATCCTCTTCCTGATTTGGGGGTAGTTTGACTTTAGTATGTAGTTGGCAGCAGGCACTTCTGATTCAGGGCTGGTTTTAAAGCGTGTCAGTGTGCTTATGTTTTATGTGAAGCTTGATTTTCTTTTCTTTTCTTTATTTTTTGGACACTATTTCAGCAACTTTAAAACCGTGATCCTTTGTTTTTGCCTCTGGAAAAAAGATTGTGCTTTATAGAAACAGATGTGTTGGTAATTGCTAAGATGTGCTAAATGGACTAACATCCAGTAAGTTGCTAGGGGGACTTATAATTAAGGAAAGCTTTTTTTCAGATCTACCCATTTGTGTATGTATAAAATTCATTGGTATACATCTTTTTACATTATATATTTAGGACTGAATCTATGATGTACAAATAAGAGCTGATATCTATTCAGAAAGCAAGTTTTTATAACATTTCCTTTATATGTTGTCTGTGGAGTATGTTTCTGAAACTTCTTGTTTATTTCCAGGAATCTGAGGGGTTTAATGAGAAGTTGTTGTTAAAACAAAAAATGAACTTGCTGTCCCAGATGTCCACCACTCCAATAGATTGCTTCTTCAAGGTGAACAATTTTCATTGGATAACTTTGTATGCATATACATCTATGTATATTTGTTACATGGACATGCTTCTGTCATAGAGATGCTATTTTCTAAAATATAATACACCAGAGCTGTCCACAAGCTGAAGTGTCACACCACTGGGGGCTGCATGCTGCATGGACTGTACCAGGTGAGCTACAGGCTTTTGGGCCACACACATGCTCCCCCACATACCTGCACAGGAACCTTATGCCACCCCCACTCCATGGGGCTACAATCTGCACCCTGTGCTCAACCTGGACTCACTGTATGCTTCTTACAGTGCACCTTACTGATGGTGCAGCCAGAACAATTGGGAGTGGCAACTGGGTGAAGGCCTGGGAGCTGCATGTTAACCCCTAGCAGGCCACATGTGGCCTATGGGACAGTCCCTATAACACACGAATTGTTTTATAATGCTGCTATATGGCCCTCTGGAAGTCAAAGTACATCAAACTACAAAAATGTGTTTGAGCAATCAGTCTAATGTACTTCTGTGCCAAAAACTTCTAAGCTGAGAATGTGGTTTTACTAATAGTAGTATAGGTTCTAGAGATGAAGAAATGCAGAGACAAAACAGTACTAGTTAGAGATTCACTGAGAGAGAGAGATTATGCCAGCAGCTGTTTGCTTATCAAAGCTTTGAGACTTAAAATTAAGATGATTTTCTGAAAAAATCTGAAGTGCAGTCACCTTGCAGCTCCTCAATATTATACATTACTTCATCTAATTATAATTTTTTTTTTTACTGTGCAAAGGCACAAAGCAGAGCTACTAATTATATGCATTTGCAGCTACAGCTAGACACTTTTTTAGTAATTTTACAGTAAAGTGTCTATACAGAGAGGCAGTATCAATTTTGTGACTGAGTCTGAAAGAAAACAGCAGCAATTGTTTAATTTTTTTATGGAAAGCAAAGCAAATCAGGATCAAAACTAATTGATCTTCATACCAAATACCCGTTAGGAAGTTGCATGCCACAGCACTGTTCAGCTTTGCACCAATGCTTTCTCATGCTTGCAGAGTGGTCTTTCATGATTGGTTGATTTGATATATGACATATGGTGGTTTTAAAGCTTTCTTAGACCAGTTTGTTCTGTTTTCCCCCTTGGCTTTTTGCAGCACATTGCTTCAGGTAACCAGGAAGAAGTGGAGCGATTATTAAGTCAAGGTGACAATGATAACGACACTGTACAGAAAATGTGCCACCCACTCTGTTTCTGTGACAAATGCGAGAAGCTAGTTTCTGGGTAAGGGCTCTCTATCTCCATACAAAAAGATTTATAATATCTTTGTTCCAGGATTTGTCTTGAGAATCCTTTGAGGGTAATACTGAAAGGTGCACTGCTTATTCTGGAAAATTCTTCTGATGGAAGAGCATGTTTCTATTTTAGGATTTGATTAGGAACCCATTTATGTGGGTTGAGAGAAAATACTAGGGGTGTACCGATAGAGATTTAGGGGGCTGATGCCGATAGCTGACTTTTAAGGAGGCATATCAGCCGATACCAATCTGATTTCCAATACGCAGCCCAGCAGCTTGAAGAGCAGGGTCCAGCCGGTATGTCTGTTGTGGTGGAAGGGGAGGGGGAAGAGAAGGGATATGGCAGGGAGGGGGTGCAGAATGAGGCCTCTGCAGTGTGGGAGGGAGTGGGACTGGGGCTGGGTGCAGGATGGAGTCGTGGCTTGTCCAGGGGACTTGGGGAGGGGGAATGGCTCCTGCTTTTGCATACCCAGGGAGGCTGTGGGAGCGGGGGCGGTGCCCCTGGATCTGTGCGGGGCAGGGTGGGCTGTAGCTGTGGGCTGGGGCCATGGCTGTGCCAGGCTCTTCCTGGCAGGGGCTGGCCCAGGCTATGCTCAGGGTGGGGGGCGGCGGTGCTGGGAGCAGGGCCATGGGGGGGCTGCAGCCATCTCAAAATTCACCATAGCCCCCTCCCAGCATAGCCATCACCTGCCCCAAGCATTCTCAAAGGGTACAAGCAGCAGTGGGAGCCCCCCCCCCACGCCCCCTGTATGAGCCGCATCTCTGTCATGAGCCCAGCCATGTCCTGCCTGGGCAGCACCTGCCCCAGCGCCAGCCTCCCTCCCTCACTGTGGGGGCCTTGATCTGCCCCCCCCTGCCCCCCAAGTCTCTTCTCTCCCCCTCCTCTTCCACCACAACAGATTTACCAGCTGGAGGCAGCTCTCCATGCTGCCGGGCTGTGCTTTTTGCCACGTATGTGCTGTGCTGCGGTTGCGCACATGCACAGGGCATTTATCAGCCATGTTATTGGTATTGGTGCACCTCTAGAAAACTCTGGTCTCAGAATTATACAAGACCTTGAGTAGGAAAGTACAGTAAAAGCTCTGTTATCCAGCATCCCCTGGGAATGGGGGATGCCAGATAACAAAATATGCCAGTTAATTGAGCGACCCTGGCAGCCGCTTCTCCCGCTGTGTCTGGGGAGTCCCTCCACCCCTTCCGCAGCATAGCCGCCCATGCCGTGGGCCCTGCAGGCCCTGCGAGACAGGGAGGCAGGCCCTGCACAGCCTCACACAGCCTGTTATGCCCCTGGGCTGTGGGAGCTCGGCAACGCAGGCTGCTTTGCCCCGGGCTGTGGGGGCTTGGAGAAACGGGCACTTCCGGTTTCACTTTATCTTACAAGCCGGCATGCTGTTTAGTGGAGCACGCCAGCTTGTAAGGTACCGGATAGCGCAGCTTTTACTGTAACAAAAAGCCTGGAGTTCAGAAAACTTAGAGAAGGATGAAGTATGCCCTCCTTTGGACATGTTAGGCAGTGACTTGTCTCAAACTGGTCTTGTATTTTCCACCCAAAAGAACAGATATCTGTATTTTTTTTTTCTTCTTGCTGAGCAAGAAACAACTAGAATAATCACTATTAATGAGAAATGGTAGATGATAAAAGGTGTGAAACCTGTTTTACTCCACATGCACACAAACACTTTCTCCGGTACCTGATATGTGTTAACTTTAGGTTTTCAAAAACTATCTTGTTTTATAGGAAGTTGAATGACCCTTCCATTGTCACTCCATTTTCCAGAGATGACCGGGGATACACTCCACTTCATACCGCCCATGCCGTGGGCCCTGCAGGCCCTGCGAGACAGGGAGGCAGGCCCTGCACAGCCTCACACAGCCTGTTATGCCCCTGGGCTGTGGGAGCTCGGCAACGCAGGCTGCTTTGCCCCGGGCTGTGGGGGCTTGGAGAAACGGGCACTTCCGGTTTCACTTTATCTTACAAGCCGGCATGCTGTTTAGTGGAGCACGCCAGCTTGTAAGGTACCGGATAGCGCAGCTTTTACTGTAACAAAAAGCCTGGAGTTCAGAAAACTTAGAGAAGGATGAAGTATGCCCTCCTTTGGACATGTTAGGCAGTGACTTGTCTCAAACTGGTCTTGTATTTTCCACCCAAAAGAACAGATATCTGTATTTTTTTTTTCTTCTTGCTGAGCAAGAAACAACTAGAATAATCACTATTAATGAGAAATGGTAGATGATAAAAGGTGTGAAACCTGTTTTACTCCACATGCACACAAACACTTTCTCCGGTACCTGATATGTGTTAACTTTAGGTTTTCAAAAACTATCTTGTTTTATAGGAAGTTGAATGACCCTTCCATTGTCACTCCATTTTCCAGAGATGACCGGGGATACACTCCACTTCATATAGCTGCTATTTACGGTAAGTGTTTCATCTTGCATAACACTTCCTTTGTGGGACAGAGAAACAGGAATCCTGGTCCAGACTGAAGCCTTGTTGCTGCTTATTTGCTTTTGCCTTGGCTGTCACAATGGCTTTTTTCCAGGCAGACAGGTAGGTTACTCAGTATCGTTATGTTCTGTTAATTAATTGACGGGGTGTGAAGCAAGTCTTGATCTTTCTGCACCCTGTTCTTTACAGCAGCAGCTATACCATCCTGCCTCTTTGAATATGGGTCATGGTACTGACCTCAGAATTGTAAGCAGATGCATTAATCTACTCAGCAGGTTTTTTAATCTGCTCTTCTTTCTTTGTGTTGCCCTTGACTTCCATATTGCATGTAGCAAGGCCAGAGTAATTTGTGCAACATCAATTTACTTTTTATTCCTTTCTCACCTTCAGGATAGAGATAAAGTTTGCAAATGAAGACCCTCTTACTGTAACCTTGAATCATTTGCATTAAATTGAAATTATCCATTCCAAAGAGCAAATGTCAAGAAAGTGAATATGCGGTGGACACAGTAATGCATAACAGGATTGAAAGTTCACATTTTAATTTTGAAGGTTAACTTTTGTCTTGTGAAGATGTTTGCTTCCCAGTTTTAATCGCCATATATTTTCCATAGGGCAAGCATCATTAGTTGACGTACTAGTTTCCAAAGGAGCTGTGGTCAATGCTATGGATTACCATGGTTCAACACCACTTCACCTTGCCTGCCAGAAAGGATATCAAAACATTACTGTAAGCATATAAAGATTTAATCTAACTGTTTAAAAAAAATGAAATAGAACTAAAAACAAATAATCCGTGATAATATGTGCCTCTAACTGTTGTTGATTTATTCATACCATTGTTAAAAAATTCTAAGGCTTTTTGTAATAACTGTGTGCTGTCACAATTGAGGATTTTGTTGAGCATTTTAATTAAACAATTGAGCACTTTAAATACGAAATTCTGGAGGTATAATCCAGATGTTAACGTTTTTCTGGGCAGCAAAGCTTTGCTGGTTTCTGTCTATCCCAGTTGTTCAGTGTACATGCATGATCTTTCAATACTTTTTTCATACAGGTGTCTAATATACAGTACAGACTGATAAAACAGTGGAATTTGCTCTGCATTGATTCTGAAAAGCCATTGTAATCACTTAATTCAACCTACTGTCTTTACCTGTATACATTTATACTCATAAAGAATATTGGGTAACTTTCTGTGTTATCTGTGCTTCAGTTTCTCACTACAGTGTGTGATTTAAAGTCTGTTTTCAGCCACAACTCTGAATTTTTTAAACAGTGTGTGACAAGAAGCTTTCATTTGGTTCAGGGGCTAAGAAAAAATAGAGTAATAAAGCCAAAGGCAGTTATCAGTTACTTTTTTAAAGCAGAAAAGATGTAGCTCTGTTTTACTAAATTTGTTCATTATCTTAGAAACCTAAAGGAGACTACCACAGTAGTAATTATTGGTCCTTTAATTTTGGGTTACTTAGATGTATACATTTTCTCTCTTAAGCTTCTCTTGTTGCACTATAAGGCAAGTACAGATGTTCAAGACAATAATGGCAATACACCACTTCATTTAGCCTGCACTTACGGTCATGAGGATGTAAGTATTTTTTTTATTACAAACTAAATGGATGTTCTAATAGGATTATGGCATGTAATTAAATTATGATGCCTATTTGTATAAAATCAATTTATTTAAAAAGGCAACTTATTTCACATTATAAACTAGGACACTATTGGTCCTAGAAACTATCAGTCCATGGTAGTTTCTTTAGTGTTGGTGCCCATTAACATTGGAGGTGCTGATTTTAACAACAAAACCTATTTGTTTGAGCCTTTTGTATTTATTTATTCATTTTAGATCTTTTTGTTTAATGACATTGGGCCATAAAAGCCTATCCCAAAGAGAATGGATTACAGGAGCTGCAGTAAAACAGGCATAAAACAGGGGTTGCACATGTTGTTGTGTAGGCTAAGAATCAGAGAGAGTTCACTGGTGGCTTTCTTTTCCTTTCCAGTGTGTCAAGGCTTTAGTCTACTATGATGTACACTCTTGTAAATTAGATATTGGTAATGAAAAAGGAGACACTCCCCTCCACATAGCAGCTCGCTGGGGCTATCAAGGCATCATAGAAGTGCTGCTGCAAAATGGAGCCAACCCAAATATTCAAAACCGGATGAAAGAAACTTCCCTCCAGTGTGCACTGAATTCCAAGGTATGCTTCCTTATCTGCTAGCTGGAGCTTTTAAAATGTATTTTCATAGTGGGTAGCTGTATTTCATGCTTAATTGTTAATGAGATTTGTGGTTTGGTACTTGGAAAAAACAAACAAAAAAACCCTTTACCATTAAAAGAAGGAAAGTCAGTTTTTACATTGTAAGTGAGTTGGGAGTCTGTCTTCTAATACAGCACATAAATATTGTAGATTGGTGCTCTTGCTAATATGAAGTTATCAAGTAATTTGTTTTGGGCATTATATTTATGGGATGTTTTTAATTTTTATGCAGATTTTATCATTGATGGAATTAAACTATCTAACATTTGAAAGGGAACAAACTACTTCTGAGGTAACAAACAGAATGAGTCACTGGTCTTCTTTTTTGCATACTTTTAGCAGTTTATATTATTAGATTAAACCTTCCTGCTTGCTTTGTTTTTATGGACTGATTAAAGTCACCAGTTAGGTCTCCTCGGTGTTCAGTGGACATCATTAGCAGAGAGTCATCTATCTCAAGTTTGTCATCACCATGTGCAGATACAAGACCAGAAGAAGTTAAAAATATTTACAAAGAGGTAAGAGTAGTAAAAGTTTAGCATTTAACAATGCAAAGGTACATGTTTTGTGCAGTGTCATTTTAAACTGCTTCCGCAAATATGGTTGCCTGGGACAGCAAAGTAACAGCAAGCAACAGATATAGACAAGTCCCTATTAATAAATGAAGAGACAGTTTCAGGAAAAGACGGTGTTAAATTACAATTTTCCCCTCTATTTTTCTTTGCGTCAGAAAAGTGCTCTTCGGTTTTGCTATTCTGTGTATGAATATGCCCAACTGTTGTTTTCTGCCATGTGTATGGAAGTCCATTCTTCGAGATTACTAGGTTTTCCCTAATGATGGCTGATGTCTTGGAGCTTTCAATCTGATTTATTTTTAGAGATCAGAATAAGCATTTCATAGAGAAACTAGTCTTCATATGTCCATCCGGCCCTCTGAACCTGAGAAGATAGATCCCAGCTCTCTTGTATTTAAATGAAGGGAGGCTTTCAAACTCTGAAGATGATCCGGGGTGGGGGATATTTCTGTTGTCCTTAGTTCTTTGCTGAGCATCAGGAATTAGAGAAGATTCTTTAGATACTAAATTTTTTTAGGGCTGTTAAAAAGTGGGAATATTTTTGTGCACAGGAGCAACAAGAGTAGAAATACCCTTTGGATGGGAGGAGGCTGCCTATGGTGGTGGGTTGTGTGTCCATGTATGTACACACGTGTACACAGGCAACATAATAGCTGCTGGGGCAGGAATTAGAAAGCAGAGGAGCAGCTTGGTCAGGGAGCAGAAAGCTGACCAGCAGACTGGGTAAAGAAAAAGGATTGGAGTGGCATTTGGGGAGGGTGTAGGGCTAACTCATGGCCCACCTGCCAAGAAGGTTGGCCCCCACTGTACTATATATAAATCTATGTATGTATGTGTCTGTGTTATATATAAAGGTGCGTGGGGCGCGCGCGCGCGTGTGTGTGTGTGTACGTACATATACATACATATACATAAAATGTAAGCTCCCCCGGATATACCCAAGTCTAATACAACTTTGAATTTAAGATGACACTCCGCCCCCCGGTAATTAGATTCTATATAGGGAAAATATATAAACTTGTTTTAGTTTTCCCTGTATAGAATCTAATTATTGGGGGGGTTATATTAAATTTGTCCCCCACATGATTATACCCTGGCATTTATGCCCTTGCTGCCTTGCTCCCTCACCTGGCCCTCTCCTGCTGCTTGCCCCTGCCCCACCTTGTCTACTACACCCTATGCATTGATCTTGCCCAGCTCTAGTCTACCCAAAATGACTTCTCTGACCAGGTCACTCTTTGAGTTTCCCATTTGTCTTTCCTTCACTTGCACATCAAGTCTGTTCTTGTCATTATCCTCCCAAATCCTGCTTCTTGTCGCTGTGTCTTTATTTGTTTCTCCTATTCCTATGTTCACTCCAACCCAGGCTTCTCAATATTTTTGCTTCCTTCCACATAATAAAGTAAACCTTTTATTTGTTCTAATTTTTTCTCAAAACACGTATCCTAGGAAGCTCTTAGGCAATAACATGAAAGCATCAAGTATATCTAAGAAAGGGTAATTCAGAGTGTGGTGGTATCAGTGTTGTCTAAGTTAAAAGTGTGAGTGTGTGCGTGTCTGAGCAAGCACACTTTCTTCTGCATTTAATTAGGACTAAGATCCTTGGTGCAGGGACTACATCTCTATTTGTACAGAGCAAAGCACAGTAATGATGCTTCACAAATAAGGCATTATTCACAAAAAAATCACCTAATAGCAGATTGAGGATTTGTTTCTCCTTAAAGAGACAAATTAATCATTCCATGAATATTGAGTCTGTAATGTAGTTGAAATCACGGGAAAAGATTATTAGCAGCTTATACTTAGATCCTTGGGGTTGTGACCTCTTTCTGTAATCCAACATTATCTCATTATCACTTGCCAGGCTTCACCTAGGCTTATTGCTCTTATTCTTACCAATCAAGAAAATAAGGGTCTAATCCTGCAGCTTCTCCATGTGGGGAGGTGCCTCTGGAGTTCAGGTGAGACTGGAAACTAGCAGGAAGAGCTCTCCAGATTGCATGGATATTACATGGTCTAAGGAGAAGTCATACAGTTTTTATTAATCCACACTTCTGGCTGTTGAGTAGCTGGCCATCCAGTAATTCAGTACAATGAGATCTCTTTGGTATTGTATGCTAGTGTCTTGGCTGTGGCATCTTTATACTTTGGAAAAGAATGATTAGTAAAGGGAGAGGCTAATACATTTGTAAGTGGCTCTTGAGATTAATTGCAATTTGCAAAATCATTACAACTTTCATTAATGAATCCTGAAAATGCTACACAACAAATGCTAATACTCCTTCAACTGAGGGGTACTGTGGAAAAATTAAGAATCAACATGCTTTAACAGAGGGACACTAGAGAGTTGTATGTCATTTCCCATTTCTGTAAGGCATTTTCCATACAGTGATAAAATCTGACTGACAGTTAAGATGACCTGATTTAGCTTCTTAGGTAGAGTTGGGCCCAGATTTAATGGGTAAGTAAACAAAGTAACATTTATAGATCCCCATCCAGCTCACCATCCACCCCACTGCCTAGGTCCTGCACATCCCAGATGCCCAAATTTATTGTAAAATCCCCTCAATTATTTTATGAGGCTTCTCAGCTTTGGTGATATCATCCACTACCACTCTGTATGCAGTGCAGAGTAGTAAAATAATGAAGACAAAGCAGGAGCAGAAAGATGCAGTAAAGCGTTTCTGCATTGTACAAAACTCCTAGCTTACAGTATTAGGTAATATGTTGGCAAAATGCCTGATTCCTGCTTACACTGGCTTTCACTCTTGCTACACATGGAGTTGCAATGGTGTGGGATTGTAACTGCAAAATTTGCTAGCATAGCTGGAGCTTTAAGGAGTTTAAGGTGAACTATTACCAATAGGCACACATGGGATTGCAGATGGTGTTCTGGAAGGGATAGTGTGGAAGCTTCTTCCAATCACTAGCTCTTTCCAGTGCTTTTCTGTAAAGATTCTATCATTTATTCTACTACCCAAATGGCAACATCTCACTGGTGGAGGTAAAAAAAAACATTCTGCAAGCACGGGTATAATTCATATTATTGTATTTTTTTTATCAATTTATTTACATTAAGTAGTTGGGAAGTTTATGCCTGAGTCAAAGGTTTGCTATAAGCGTTTTATAATATATGTAGTAATTCTACTTGTGTGTATTTGCATGTGTTGTTATTAATTTAAAACCAGTTTTTGTTCACTGTCAACTTTTGAAACTCCAGAACTAGAATACTATGCTAGGGTGTGAGATTCAGAAAGGAAAAAAACTGACTAATCTACATTTTATTGTGAAGCTGTTCGTAAAACAAGGGAGAAGGGCGTTAAGAAAAAAAAAAACAACATTTAACACTGAGGTCAAAGTTCTGTAATAGTCAAAATTAAATGATAATAGAAGGTAACATTCATAATGTAGGTAAAGAGATTTTATTTGTAGTGATTGATGCGGTAGCACTGGGAGGGGTTGGGCAGGCTGTGGCGAAGTTTTGGGTGCCTGCAGCTTCCCCATTCCCTCCTGCCGCTGCCCCGGGCCCAGTCTGCTCTGCCTCGCCCCACATGCAGATCCGGGGGCATGCACCCCCCAGATGAGCCACTCATGGCTCCGTCCAGCACCTGCCCAGGCTGTGCAGTGCCAGCCCCTGCTCCGCTCCCACACTCACCCATCCCCATGGAGGGCGCAGATCGAGTCCCCAGCGGTGAGGAAGGGAGTGGGACACAGGCAGGAGCAGGGGATGGGAGAGTGGGGGGGACAAGCGGAGGCCTGGGGAGCACATGATATTACAGATATTATTAATATCTACCATCGTGTTAGATATTAATAAAGCACACCTGGACTGTCTTTGTGGGGGAGAGGTGGTTATTTTTTAAAATTCTGAATGGTAGTTTACGATCAAAATGTAGTTTCTGGTTTTTAGCTTCTATATCTTTAGATTAGTGTTTTGTAACAGTTTTATGTTAAGATTAACATTGTCTAATTACAGGTCTCAAAGTCTAAAATGTTCAAAAATGGAATTTGCTTATTTTAATTTATATCTACCATGATGTCAATAAAAGGTATGAAAAACAGCATTATAGTGACACCTGCAAAAGCATGTTATAAACTTTCTGGTGATCCTATTTTAGCAAATTTTGATAGTGATACTGGTTTTTAAACAAAGCTGTTTTGGCATCAGATACTACTAGTCCTCCTGCTTTCCACTGGGCACTACAATCTAGTAGGGATCACAGAGACTTGGTGGGACTCTTCTCATGACTGGAGTGTAGCCATAAAGGGCTATGTCCTTCACAGAAGGGATTGGGTAGGGAAGAGAGGTGGGGGTGTTGCCCTCTATGTGAAGGAGCAGTACACCTTCCTACAGGCCTATGTTGGCCCCAAAGAAGAACAGCTTGAAACCCTCTGGGTCAAGCTCCAGGGGAGGCATGGCAAGAGAGACCCGACTGTAGGTGTATACTACAGGCCACCTAACCAAGGGGAGGAACTTGAACCAACATTTGCCCGTGAACTAACGGAGGCTGTGTGTGTACGGGACATGGTTGTCATGGATGACTTCAACTACCCAGACATCTCCTGGGAGGAGTGCTTGGCCAGCTTGGATCGATCACGATCCTTCCTGACCAGCACTGAAGAGCTTTTTTTGACTCAAGAGGCGCACAGGGCAACTAGAGGCAATGCAGTTCTTGACCTGGTGCTGGCCAAAGGGGATGACCTGGTGACCAACTTAAACATAGTGGACAGCCTAGGCAATAGTGACCATGAAATCATTATGTTCACAGTCCGTTGCAAAGCTGACAAAACAGATACTAAGCTCAAAGTCTTAGACTTTAAAAACACAAATTTTAATAAGCTCAGGTCACTAGCAGAGAATGCTCTGAGACCAAGGACCACAGGTAAAGGGAGCATGAGAAGAATGGTCATTCCTTAATGATACAATCCTTAAGGCTCAAAGAAAATCCATTGCCTTGTGGAGAAAAAGTAGGAACAGCCTCTAAGGAAGACTACTTGACAATGGCTTGCACTTGTAGAAAACAGATTAGGCAAGCTAAGGCAGAAACTGAACTAAAACTAGCTACAAGAATCAAGGACAACAAGTCCTTCTTTAGCCAAATGAAGAGTAAAAGGAAAACTAATCAGAGTCTGGGGCTGCTGCTCAGTGCCTCAGGATACCTGGTCACTACCACTCAGAAAAAAATGAAATTCCTAAATGGCTATTTTGCCTCGATCTTTCACAAGACCAAGTGGAACTACATGCCAGGTAGGGCACAGAATGAGCAGGGCGGGATTGACACCATTCCCACCATTACCATAGAACTGATGTACGATCAATTACAGTAATTAGACGTATATAAATCAGCAGGACTGGATGAACTCCACCCGAGAGTGCTGCAAGAAGGCTGACATCATAGCACAACCAATGGGGAGGATATTTGAGAATTCATGGCACTTGGGAGAGGTTCCTGAAGATTGGAAGAGGGTCAATGTGGTGCCTATCTTCAAGAAAGGAAGGAAAGAAGATACAGGGAACAACAGGCCAATCAGTTTGACCTCAATCCCTGGAACGATCTTGGAAAAAACCATCAAAGAAACGATCAACAACAGGCTAATGGGAGGCAATGTTCTGAGAGATAGCCAACATGGCTTCATTGTGGGTAGGTCTTGTCTGACCAACCTCATTTCTTTCTATGATCAGGTGACTCGTCACCTGGATGAGAGAAAAGCGGTTGACATCACATACCTCGACTTCCAGAAAGCATTTGACCTGGTATCCCACGAGGTACTGATCAGAGAACTGGAAGATATTGGGCTTAACTGCAGGACTGTCAAGTGGGTGTGAAACTGGTCACAAGGTAGGACGCAGAGAGTCTAAATGAATGGATCGGTGTCATTCTGGTGAGATGTGGGCAGCGGTGTACCCCAGAGGTTGGTACTTGACCCAGTGCTGTTCAATATCTTCATCAACAACCTGGACGAAGGGGTGAAAAGCCCATTGGCCAAGTTCGCGGACAACACCAAGATATGGGGTTGTGCGGACACACCCGCAGATAGGCTGCAGATACAGGCAGACCTAGACAGACTGGTATGTTGGGCAGAACAGAATCAGATGAGGTTCAGCATAGAGAAATGCAAAGTGCTGCATCTGGGAAGGAAGAACGCCCAGCACGCCTACAGGCTGGGCATCGCTAACCTGACCAGCACTACAGATGAAAGTGATCTGGGGGTAACAACAGACCCCAGCATGAATATGAGCCGGCAATGCAATGCAGTAGCCACTAGGGCCAATAAAACTCCAGTAAATCCAAAGAAGTGATTCTCCTGCTTTACTCAACATTGGTGCGGCTGCAGCTGGAGTATTGTGTCCAGTTCTGGGCACCACACTTCAACAAGGACATGCTAAAACTCAAGAGAGTCCAGAGAAGGGCAACCCACATGATCCAGGACTTGCATGGCAAGCCATATGAGGAGAGGCTGATGGATCTCGGACTCTTCAGCCTAAAGAAAAGAAGGCTGAGAGGGGACCTGCTTGCGGCTTACCGCTATATCAGAGGTGCACATCAGGGACTCAGTGAACAACTGTTCACTAGGGCGCTCTGGGGGAAAACTAGAAACAACAGCCACAAACTCCTGGAAGCTAGTTTCAGGCTGAACTTTGGGAAAAACTTCTTTACAGCTAGGGTGTCCAGACTATGGAACAAGCTCCCCCCAGAGGTGGTGCAGTCACCCTAGTGGTCTTCAGAGAAGACTGGACTGTCACCTGGCTGGGGTCATCTGACCCCAGATGTCTTTGCTGCCCATGCAGGGGGCTGGGCCTGATGATCCCTCGGGGTCCCTTTCAGCCCTATGATTCTACTACTTATCTACTATGCACACCTGGGCTGTTTTGGCAGCAACTGTTAGCCTACCAAGATAGCAGCATAAACAGTAGAGGCCTTCATAATTTAAATAGTTTGGGTTTTTTTGGTTTTAGCGCTGGATCCTAAACAAAGTTGTAAACACAATAGTTGGTGAATCTGAACAGTGATTTGGTATATCAGCTAACGTAGGCTTGTTTTACATATGCACCATATGTGTCCTATAGTAACGTAAGTAATGCTTATCTTTCAATAAGCAGTTCAAAAATCATCAAATGGCCACAGGCTTTATGCAGCTTTTGTATTTCATAAGTTAAAGTTTTAAAGGAAAGACCTTATTATCTTTAAATCTGAAATAGGCTACCTGTAATCCTGTAGCATCAAATTAGGAGATTAGTAAAGTACAGTGGGTTTTCAGAGAGAACAGTTTTATACCAATATTACCAAAACCAACTAAAATTCCATTTTTCTTTATACCTAGGTAGAAAAGCTCTTAAGAGCAGTTGCTGATGGAGATCTGGAAATGGTAAGTCTAGAATGACTTGATGCATCTGTTTTTTCTCATCTGTTTTTCTTAAATTGAGGAAGCTTTTTATACAAAACATTGAATAGATAATCAGTGTCTTTTCTTTCTAAAAAAATTAGATAAGTCCAGTGGTGCTACTGTGAATATTCACTCAGTGTTTCAAGAATACTCAGCTAACAATATTTTGAAGGGTCAGTATTTTGACGAGTCTGTGATTTGCTGTAGTAGAGGGAGTACTTTTAGATCAGAGCAAATACATTGCCAATTATAGGAGAAAACACTGAATTGAATCTTTTAAGCATGCTTCTTTAACTCTTTGATTTAAGATGCTTTAGCTTTATCATTTTTATTTGGTGTATTCATGATTTTAAAATAAAACGAACTCCATGTTCCCCATGCCTAGTTCCTCTAGAACAGAGTTCCTCAATGTACTTGGTAGGTAGCCTCTTGCAAACGTTGCTCATGACTTCTTCCTGCTCAAAAACACAGTTCAGAATATTCTAGAAATGGTGTCAATCCAGCACAACCCTGTTCTCCATCACCAATCTATCATGTAGACATGTGGTCTCTGAACTTCATTTATTCACTACTTGTAAAACTAGACACTAGTGATGCCAAAAAGAAACGATGTCTGAATCTCCCTGGTGCTTAATTAACTGTTTCATTCACTTGCGTAACTGTGGATTTCAGTAGAATCATTTCATGTTTTCTGCAGTATCAGCAAAAGGAAAATGTGACCAAAGTCCTAGTTTGTTTTTCTCCACTTCCTTTTCCTGTGGGTGTCTTGGATCCTCGTTCTCTTTCTGCTGCTCCCCTGAGTCATGGCTTTATCTCTGTTAATCTGGGTTTTGATGCTCTTTGAGGATGTTGCATTCTAGGATAGTAAGTTTTGTTGTTTTTTTTTCCTTTTCCAGCAGATTCCCTTTTCTGTTTTTTAATGAGTAACTTGTGACTTCACGAATTAAAGCCCACTCTTTAAAAAGCATGCACATTACTTAAACTTGCACATGCAAGGAGCTCACTCTTCAAGACTGATTACAATGAAGCTTCCTTCAGGACCAGCCTAATCAAAACTGGACAATAATTGTCAGATTCAGGGTCTCACTGTCAAATATTGACTTTTTTTCACTAGTACTCATCATTGGCAATCCCTCAATCAGAGGATCATCTCTAACATGACTCATTGAGAGATCTTGAGGTGACTTAAGAGTCCAATCTTTGAGCCACAGATCCATCTACAGAAATTACAGGTCTTTCCACAGGGAAGAGTAGGCTGGGATTCCTCTCCTTTTCCTTCCTCTGCTCTCTCTTCTCTGCTTTGAGGGCAAGACAGGATGCCGCTTGGTTGAGGTTGCAGTGGCCTTGGAGTTGGTTAACAGCCAGCTCCTCCCAGCTCTTGATATTGGTATCTATTTTCTTGAGGTAACTAGCACTACCTGATACCTACTATATTAGCAGAGCCTAGATAGCGATGTGCAGTCATTTAGAATTGTAAGTGAACAAATATGCTTATATTGCAGATACTGAACCAGATCCTGAATTCTTTAACAAGGAAAACACCACTGCCAAATTGGCCAGTAATCATTTAGGAAAACTTGGAGTCCTTTTGAGTCCTATACTGATTTGGGTGCAAGAAGACTATAGAATTGGTCCCAGTGGCTGTCCATAAAAAAACAAAACAAAACGGAGGTGGCCTGTTTTAAAAGCAAACAGTGTCATTTGTTCAAAACATCTTAGCTGTGGAACAGTCAAAGGAATGTTCAGATCTTGCTAAGGACATGAGGAGTTGATTAAATTTTGCTTATTTGTTTTACATGTTGCATCATACTGCGCAGTAGTTATAAAAATATAAAATCCAAATGTTTCTTGAGCTCTGGATTGCATGCATGTATTGTGCATTCTGCAGGACCTATTTACATTGTGCGCATAGCATGTGTAACAAGTATGTCTGCACATATGCATTAAAATGCAACTAATGTTTTGTCAAGTGCTTGTTGTGATAGTATAAACAGTGAATGAAAAGTTAAGACTTCAGATATCATTAATACAGATTAGACATGAGTTTTGCAATTTGGATATGTTTTGACTTTACACTTCATTTCCAATAAATAGCTGGCTTCTGTAGTAATATCAACATCAATGTTTGTATCCTATAATTTGCATTACTTACTGTTTACCTTCTAGCTATTGCTGCAGTTTTCTTCTTTCCATCTGAAACATTTTAAAATAATGTTACTTTTCTAAAGACATTTTACTGAAAAAATAGCAGGTGACACACAAACCTTTGAATCTAAATTTGCCGGCATTTGTGATTTTTGAGGGAGTTTATTTAAAAATTCATAAGACAAGATTGTGGAAGCCCCGTGTAAGAGTGTGGGGCAGGGTGTTGGCAACCTCTGGCCTGCAGGCTGGATCCAGCCTCCATGATTAGGTCTGGCCTGGGAAGCTGGGCAGTTGGGTGGAAGGTTGATATTGCACGGGGGAGTGGCAAATGGCAGTGGCAGCTGTCCGAAGCAGAGGTCTCCCTTCAGGCCATATTCTGTTAAAGTGACCTGCTGGTCCTAAAGGATTGCCAGTTCCTCATGTAGGGTATAGTGGGTTCATGTGCAGGCTGTACATGAGAATTGTTTATTTGTTTCTGAAAATTTTGATAGGATAACATGTCAAACAGTATCACCAGTAATATAGGTTGACAATGGCATCATAAAACAGTTTGTATATAATAAAGTACATATTACAGTTGATTTGCTAATCTGTTTGGTCTCAGTCAAAGGATAGGCATAAGTACCAGGTGACAGGAAAGGAGAGAACTATAGGAAAGGACTGTACAGTCACTTGTTAATTAAATCTTAAGATAGAGAAACTCAGCTTCAGTGATTGTCTTGAGTCAACCTCAGAAGTAAACTGGAAAAAAGTATTTGCCTGTTTCTAGACCTGTATCTAATCCCCACTTCTTCCCAAAAGAGACACCTTAAACCTCTGTCAGCCTGGTGCTTCATGTATAAAATGGAACAGAATGTTGTAGGGCTAGAAAACTATTTAAAAAAATTGATTGCAATTAATTTTTTAATCGCACAACTAGTTGCAATTAATTGTGATTTTAATCACAAAGCTGAAAACTCAAAAATATACAAAATTATGCAGGTACTTTGCATGGTGGGGGTGTGTGAAGGTGTGGGGGAGTAAGGGTGTGTGTGTGTGTGGAGGAGGGGGGGGGTT